AACATTTGACCAAATTTAGCAGGCTGATTTTTAAGTGGGTAATTTTGAATGGCCCTCAAACGATGTTATAAATATCCAAATAGCCCTTGACAGAAAAAAAGGTTCCCCACCCCTGTTCTAGACCAACCGAGAGCCTCATCCTGCATGGGTGTCGAGGACCCTGGATCAGTCCCAGGTCTAGGGGAGGGGTGCACTGATGGCCAGCAGAGGTGACAGCCCCACTCTATCCGAGGGACTTCACAAACGTACCAAACAAAACCAGATGTCAACTCCGAATGTTTTTACCACACCCCATGAACTTCAATTCTTAGTGGTCTTTTTTGTTTTTCTATATATTCTCGTTCTAATTTGGATTCCTTCATTGATGCACAGGAATTATTTAAGAGAGGATGTGTATGTGTTTAACTTCTTCATGATTGGGTTTCTAGTTAGGTTTGGATTTGGGGTGCACCTCCCCTCCCTCCTGGCCGAGTTTCTGGTCAGTAGTATATACACTGAAGAACAGAGCTGGTGGGGCTCAAGTTCCAGCTTAGAATGAGCTCCCTGCTAGTGACGAGATTTGAGAACAAGGCTGAATCTCAGGTCAAAATGCAGGTTTCTGCTTCCTTCTGGTTGACAGAAGTAACTAGCCCCAGTGAGGGGACTGGTTTGCCCAGATGGGGACAGGCAAGAAGGTGGGAGACACCTGGTCTGCTAAGCATGTGCAGCTGGAAGCGCCGGGAGCTTCCCTTACCTGAGAGCAGGTGTTCTCAGAACGCAAACATGCTGGGGTTTTGAAGTTAAAAGACAAGCCCCATGAATTCCAGATTTCACAGATTAGATTTGGTATTTCTCCTCTTTGGAAATGAGTTGGGGGTTGGGGGTGGCCAGGGAGGGAAAGGCACCTCACTTGGTTGAGGTTAATGGCATTGCGGTCACAGTACTGTTTGGGCTTTAAGGATTCCTTTGTCTGGCGGACTGCTGATTTTTTAAAATATTCAATGAGAACTGGAAAATAAGGGGCACTCTTTTCTCTTTGAAGTAATGAGTCCTCATATTAGTCTGATAACATGCATTATTCCATTTATAGTCTCAGTTTCTAGGCATGTTTCCTAAAGCTGCTGCCTCTGACGGTCTGTTGGGCATGACCGACCTCCAGTTTTCTGTGTGGCTGCTCAGCCCTCCTGGCCCCGGGTCCTGCAGCCTCAGGGATGAGTTTTGCCACCTTTTGACTTTTTTTATGGGGTTATCCCTGCCCTTCCAGATCCTGCTAAACTTCCAGCAAAGGGGGGGGGGGGGGGGGTGGGACGCGGTGCAAGTGTGCTTCCCCTCTGGCCACCAGGACGTGTGGGATCCTGGTGCTCTGTCAGGCCATGTGTGACACCCACACTGCCTTTCTCAGAGCCCCCTGATAGTTGCTTAAACAGTCATCTCACACACACACACACACACACACACACTTGTAGTTTGCAGCAGTTGATGTAGATAGCACTATCCTAGCTTTTATTGGTATTTGGAGGTGGATGCTGGTGCCCGAGTTGGTCTTCTGCCTGGAGCTCCCTCCTGGTTGTCCTGACATGGCCTCTACTCCAGCCCGCCCCGCCTTATCCTGGAAGTAGTGTCTCCTTCATTTGTTCTCCTGTAGCACTTATTCTTATCCTTAATTCATCTTTGTAATTCCATGTTATATAGTCATGCTGGTGTGTGTGTGTGTGTGTGTGTGTGTAATGAGTAACTATGCATCATTTTTATTACATATGTAAGAATTGTACTTGTCAGAGGACTCGAGGTATTTTGTGGATTGAAATACAGGACACATGAGGACATCTTGAAAAAATTCTTCCTGAAGGCAGTTGGGGTAAAGGAATCTCCAGCTCCCACACCTTGCGACCCTCTGCTGAGGCACTTTGCATTTTTTTCCTTTAATGGTAAGAATTAAACTACATGAGGTCCACCCTCTTAAAATTTTATATGTACAATACAGTATCATTACCCATAGGCACAATATTGCACAGAGATCTCTGGAATTTACTCATCTTGCATAATGGAAACTTCCCTTTGCTTTGAAGTTTTCTAATGATATATGAACAGGATTTCTTTGTTTTGAGCAGCTTTTCTTGGGAAAATGTGTTCAGATTCATCCATAGCTATAGCATCTGAACTGTGATCCTTTTCAAAAGCCTCTAACATTTAGAGGCTTTGCTGCAGGTGTGGTTAATGGGCTCTCAGGTTTCGGTTCTTTTGATAACATCGTGAAGAGTGACTTCAGATGCTGAAACATCTGAGGAACGAAGAGCATTTTCGTTCTCCCCAGCCTGCTTCTTTATCATCATGTACTTCCTCCAGGTTCCTTCCTTTAACCTTTCCCCCAAATTTGTTCTAATTTTTAGACCAAGAAACCAGACGATTAAATCCATAAATGAGCAAGAAGGTATTTTCCTGGTTAAAATGCCAGGAATTTTATTGGCATTCTGTGGAACCCCAGCTTTCACAAAGCCCCTTTACAGAAAGTTTCCCACCACCTTCAGGACAAGGATTTGCCTGAGTTACAAAGCTGTTTACTGTGAAAGAACTTCAGACGTGGAGGAATTTGAACACTGTTTGGTTTTGCGTCTAGGTATTTGACTTGGAAGGGTGCAGTCCTTAAACGCTGCTCTGTTTAAAGTCATTGCCTAACACTTGTGGGTGGGAGGTGACAGAATTGGGTGTAATAATCCTAGAGTTATGTGGGTATTTGGTGGCATTGTTATACCTGGACTAACAGTTTTACGACCATTTTAAACGGGAAGAGCCATGTGTCTGCTTTAGCCGGCGATGGATTCTGTCGCAGCAGTTGTGATAGTGCCATGAGATGTGTCAGAGAAGCAGCGCAGAATTGAGACACGATCAGAGAACACAGTCCCTTGCCAAGGAAAACCCCCGGGCAATCTGTGACTCTTGGACTCACCATGTCCGCCTAGAGCCAGGCTGTCCTGCAGCCAGGAGAAGGCCTGGATGCAGCCTCATCCACACACAAACCAGAGGACGAGAAATGAAGTTTGTGGCGCCCTCCTCAGAGGGCAGGGTCAGGCCCTTCAGGGAAATAGCTATCAAAACTACACATTACCGTGCGCTGTGCCCATTTTCCCCATCTCACTCCCATTGTAATGGCCATTCCTGCTCCTCTTAGATACCAGCCAGTCCATGTGGCTTCTGCTCTCACGGAAGCTGGTCTTAGACTTGTCCCCCCTCCTTTCACAATCCCGGATTAGTGCTGAGGCACCCTGGGTTCTTACTAAATCCTCATTGGCGGTCCAGCACCCCAAGGGGCCTGTCCTGCCCAGCCCAAGCGGGAGAAAGTCAGAGGAGGCCCAGGCTGCCCCCCTGCTCCCCTGGGTGGGTCTGCTTTGTCTCCACATCCCACATCAGATGTGGAGTCAGCTCCGGTCACTGTTCAGCTTCAGTCACAATGTCTGGAATAAAGTAATTCAGAGCTGTTGCTAACTCACTGCATGACCTTGATCGGCGACTGACCACCTACCTCCATTGCCATGTCTGCCAGGTAGGCGTGGCTTTCCTTCCCCCATGAAATCGGGTAAGGCTCCTGCGAGTGCTTAGTAATCTCCAAAATGCTGCCTCTTGAGTGGCTTTGCAACTATGTATCCATTTTGTAACAAAAATCAAAAGCTACTTTCTAACTGCTTAGTTATCAACAGGGTATGCTTGGTTACAACTGGTCTGTTGTTGCAAAAAACTACTTTGGCAGGGTCCCCTGCCTTCCTGCAGGCTACCGCTTACTCTACGTATAAACCATGTATTATAGATATTCTCATTCAATGCCATTCATTTTCCAATTTTAAAAAATATTAGTGAAGTTGACAAGGTAGTAGGTCTTAGAAAGATAGTAAGTCAAAGACAAAATTGATAAAAATAGCACCTAGGTATCTCTAACCTTATATCTTTAACTCTGATGTTTGGGACCCCAGCTGCTGACTAAGCTGCCAGAGCCTCAGCACAGTGTGAGTGTGGTTTACTGGCCGTGTGTGATCTGAGCAGCCGTGTAGTGTGCTTGTTAAGAGCATGGATTCACAGGAGCCAGCTCTGCCATTGCCTCGCTGCATGATGCCGGGCAGCTTTTTAACCCTCTGAGACTCAGTTTCCCTATCCACAGGGGTGGGCCACTTAAAGAACTTCGATTATGAGATCCAAATGAGTTAATACTTGCCTGGTATGAAGTTTGTGCCTTGTAAATATTCGTTATTATTTATGGAGGGAAAATATGCTTTCACTGTTTCATTTTTTTAGTCTACCCCCTCCTCCAGTTCTGTGTAAGATTAAGGTATACAGCATAATGACTTGACTTATGCATATATTGTGAAATGATTACAACATTAAATTTTGTTAACATCTATCATCTGATATTGATAGAAAGAAAAAAATGTGTGATGAGAACTCAGGATTAACTCTCTTAACAACTTTTTTATATATATCATATAGCAGTGTTAACTATAGTCATCATATTGGACATTGCATCCTTGATACTTCTTATTTTATAACAGAAGTTTGTACCTTTGTCCACATTTATCCAATTCCCTCTTTCCCCCTCCCTCCCCACCTCCCTGCCTTTGGTAATCACAAATCTGATCTCTTTTCTATGAATGTTTGTGTGGGTGTTTTTTTTAGGTTTCACATATAAGTGAGACCATACAGTATTTGTCTTTCTCTGCTGACTCATTTCACTTAGCATAATGCACTCAAGGTCTCTCCATGTTGTCACAAATGGCAGAATTTCCTCCCTTTTGTGGCTGAGTAATATTTCACTGTACACACGTATTTATCACATTTTCTTTATCCATTCGATCCATCAGTGGACACTTAGGTCATTTCTATATCTTGGCTATTGTAAGTAATATCTCTTCAACATCTTTGGATCTAGTCCCAGAAGTGGAATTGCTGCATCTCTCTGATACAAGTTAAAGTATAACATGTCTCATGGTAAATTTTATATCTGACTTTCTCGGGCCATTTACCTTTTTCTGCAGGCTTTTGTGGAGGCCCAGAACAAGATCACTGTGCCGTTCCTGGAGCAGTGCCCCATCCGAGGTTTATACAAGGAGAGGATGACTGAGCTGTATGACTATCCCAAGTATAGTTGCCACTTCAAGAAAGGAAAGCGGTACGTGACGTTGCTTTCACTTAATTTTATTTCACTTTTCTCATTGAATGCGTTCTTAAATGTTAAAACAGGTTCTGAATAACTTACCAGTTTATCAAATTAATTCATTATAAAATGGATTCATTTCTGTGCTTAAATATGAGAATATTTTTTGGTCTGTTGTCCAAATTCTTAAAGTAAGGATTAAGAAATTTAGTAGATGTCCCTATAATTAAAAATAAATTTTAAAAAAACCAACAACTAACATAATCACACAAAAAAAAAAAACAAAGAAAGAAATTTAGTATAGATATGTCCGACGACGAAATCTAGAGTGTAAAAAACTATTGTTTTCTTATGGCTAGTAATTGGTGAGATGGCATGATTCATAAATAACAATGGAGATTTGTTTGCCTCTAAAATTAATTATCTTTGGTTTATACTACTTGAAAAGATTTTATTATATGCACTTCTATCCAAAAATGAAAATTGTCCAGGAAGTAGAACCTAATAATTTGCTTCCCTTGTTTTCTTACACTCACTCAAACATATTCTCTAGTTAGGTTTTTAAGCCTCATTGGAAGTATCATCAATAATTTAGTATCCCCTTTCTCCCCAAGGATCAGCAAAGTGGATCTGCATGCCAAGCCCTGCCCACCACCTGCTTTTATAAATGAGGTTTAAATGGCACACAATCATGTCCATTCATTTATATATTGTCCATGGCTGCTTCTGTACAACTCACAGTTGTGTAGTAGCAGCAGAGATGTGTGGCCACAAAGCCTGAAATATTTTCAGTCTTGCCCTTTACAGAAAAGGTTTGCCGACCCCTACCCAGCTGCCTTTTATTTAGCAAATAAAAGTCTTTGTCTCTGCTTAGTTAAGGTGCAGGATTTGAATATTTAAAGCAATTCAGGGGAGATGGTGGGACCTATAACCTAGTCCCCATGTCCCATTTGCTGCTGTACCTGTGTGTGTGTGTGTGTGTGTGTGTGTGTGTGTGTGTGTGTGTGTTTTGCTTATGTGCATTTGGTTTTACTCCGCAAATAGGAAACTCCACAGCTAAATAAAGACTGTCTCTGTCCCGCAGGTATTTCTATTTTTACAATACAGGTTTGCAGAACCAGCGAGTATTATATGTACAGGATTCCTTAGAGGGTGAAGCCAGAGTGTTCCTAGACCCCAACGTACTCTCCGATGATGGCACCGTGGCGCTTCGAGGTGAGTGCTCCACAGCCAGGCCCCGGGAGTCCCAGGCCCCCACGCCAAGCTCTGTGTTGGAGCAGTCACCTCACCTCGGAAATACCAGACAGAGCGTGGACCCTGTTGCAGAACAGATGCACACGCAATGTCAGGAGAGCTATTTTTGCACAGTATGTTTAGAACACGTGAGTAATCACGTGTCCTTCTGATGGCATGAAGCAGATCTGGAGAATACTTGTCACTGGCCTCAAATTAACGCCTAGGGCTTCTGAGACCCTGAAGTATCTTCATCATTTCCCATAATATCCCTGAGAACTATCTGTGATTAGAAACACAGTCCTCTTCTATAAGAAATTTAAGCTATACAAAGAATGTTTCAACTATAAATATAAAATAGGAAGGACTATTTACGAGATCCCTTTCCTTGCGGGGGGGCGGGGTGGGGGAACTGATTAAGAGTTTTAAAATTTAGATAATTGTCAGTATGTTAGAATTAAAAGTAAAAACATACAAGCTTGTAAAATTGGACAGCTTGGTACCCTGACCTCTAAAGATGCAAGTTTAAAAACTGAGTAAGTTTAGCCTACAGTTGCTATATGTCTCCTAAATAATCCTGTCCCGAAAATAACCTCCTCCACAGGCCATAACGATTATCCCCGGTTTGTGCCATAAACACTAGTCCTAGGGTCAGGAAGTTTGTGGTTCTATGATTTAATAACTGTATCCTCTGAGAACCACATCTTGGTAGCATTATAGATGTTTTTAGTGCAGTTGGCTCATCTTCTGTAGCATCTTCTGTTTTATTAAGAAAGCACAGTTGTAGGTTCAGTCCTACAGAATTGAGCAGTTGGAACACTGAAGTCCTATAATCAGTTAGGTGGGAATTAAACAGATCTGGGCAAGGACCCTTAGAATAAAATAAAAATGCCCTTGACCAAAATTGCCCTTACAATAAAAATAAAGGCATTCAGTCATTTAGTGGTTCCCTCTCCTCTACAAATGGGCTGTGAATGTAAATGATGATTCTTTACTAACTGGAATTGAAAGTAATAAGATGCCAGCCAGCTTAATAAGAGTATTCTTCCATGAATTGGAACTTGGAGTTAAAAGAACTTATTAATATAGTAGTTCTGTGCAATAATGTACCCTGTGTAGGATTCATTTAGTTTTAGCAAAGGTCTGTCTTGCAACTCATCCAGAAAGACTTCATTATAACAGAGTCTCACTTCTCACTTTGATAATTCATCCTAGTAACTTTTTTATGGAATTGTTGCCATCTTCATGTCCGGATGGATGGAAAGGAAAATTCAACATGGGACCTGGATTGGGTGTTTGACAGTGGTATTATAGGGAAATTACAGTATGGGAGGTAAACATTCAGATTCTTTTGATAGTATATACATTTTTTTTAAAATGTATTTTGATTGATTTCAGAGAGGAAGGGAGAGGGAGAGATAGAAACATCAAAGATGAGAATCATTGATCATCTGTCTCCTGCACACCCCCCACTGGGGATCAAGTCTGCAACCTGGGCATGTGCCCTTGACCAGAATCGAACCCGGGACCCTTCAGTCTGCAGGTAGATGCTCTGTGGATTAAGTGTCAGCCTGCTGACTGAAGGTGTATGGGTTCAATTTTGGTCAAGGGCATGCACCTCAGTTGCAGGCTCGTGTGGGAGGCAACAGTTGATGTGCCTCTCTCACATCGATGTTTCTCTCTGTCTCTCCCCTCTCCTCCACTCTCTCTAGAAATCAATGGAAAAACTACATTGGGTGAGGATTAACAAAAATAAAATTAATATAATTTGAATTCAAAATTTTTATTTGGAATTTTTCTGAAAATTTTCTAATTCTATATAGCTAATTCAAACACTACAATGTTATATAGAGTGGAAAGTGAATATTTTCTCCCCATCATCTTCTAGATTCTTTTCTGCAATTACATACTTATGAGCCTGGATATTTTATAGGAATTGTAAGTGAGTAATAAGTAGGCTTTTTGAGGTTTTAGACATATTTCCCATTAATAGAGGTCTCATGTAAAAATAGTAGAAAACCTCTGAAAATAGTTGGGTTTCTTAGAATAATTTCCACAAGCCCCCTCCCCCCCCCCCCCCCAGGTAAAGTTCAGCAAACATCCTAAGAGGAAATTTCTGGTGTTGGTGTCTGGTACCAAATGCTGTACCATAATGATAATTCACAATGATGAAAGCTGCTATATTTGTCAGGAAACATTCCATGGTGATGACAATGATCTATCTCTCTTGTCCCTAAAGAACTGGACAGTAGAGTAGTCCATAGATGGTGTTGCTTTTCTTCCTTTTCCACAGTCACTTTTGGTATGTGGACCGCGTGAGATCCTTCATTGCAAACCCTCAGGCCTTATTTGCCTGGGTGGTGGTGTTCGGATGGTATGGGCGATAATCCTTGAGTGCCAGTAATGCTCAGAAAACGGGGTTGTAAAGAATGAACTCAGATAGTTGGAATCCATTCCAAAAATTACCTAATGACTCCAATTTAGTTCTGTTTCATGGCGTGTGTCCTAATTCAGTCATTACTCCAAAGGCAGTTTCCTTGTTCCTTACTTGTTCCCTTTGCAGGGGTTCTCAACCTTCTGGCCCTTTAAATACAGTTCCTCATGTTGTGACCCAACCATAAAATTATTTTCGTTGCTACTTCATAACTGTAATGTTGCTACTGTTATGAGTGTAATGTGAATATCTGATATGCAGGATGGTCTTAGGCGACCCCTGTGAAAGGGTCGTTCGACCGCCAAAGGGGTTGCGACCCACAGGTTGAGAACCGCTGCTTTAGAGTGTAAATAAAATGTGCTGAAAATCCAAGATGAGCTCTGCTTTTAACTGATAGAAATTAAAAAATGGAAGCATCTTAGTGGGCATAGAATCCAACACTTCATGTTAGAGATGAAGAAATGAAGACTTGCTTAAGGTCATAAGGCAAATGCCTGTAAGACATGGGCTTGGCCCTCAGAGTTCCTCACTACCACAGTCTGCCTCCGTGTACGACAGAGAGCGTTGTGGGGCAGCGCAGGGCAGTGAGCAGGGCCAGGCACTGTGTCCCCGTCACTGTTTGATTTCTCCTGTGTTCCATAGGCTATGCATTCAGTGAAGACGGTGAATATTTTGCCTACGGTCTGAGTGCCAGTGGCTCCGACTGGGTGACAATCAAGTTTATGAAAGTCGATGGTGCTAAAGAGCTTCCAGATGTGCTCGAAAGAGTCAAGTTCAGCTGTATGGCCTGGACCCATGATGGGAAGGGAATGTTCTACAACTCTTACCCCCAACAAGACGGAAAAAGTGATGGTACGTTAAGACTTCAGGTGAAAGCACCTTTTTTTATGAAATAGAAGTGTGACTCCCATAACTTTAAAAGAAAAACTAATCCCTAACAGTTTGGTCTAGAGCAAGCATGTCAAACTTGCGGCCCACAGCGAATATTTTTGGGGCCCAGCCAATATAACGGTATGTAAGAAATGTTTTAATAAAAATTCCGTAACTTAATTTTTACAATATCCTGTTATACATAATCTATCTATATATATATAAGGCTAAGTGACCGACCGTCCGTCCGACCCACTGACTGACCAGCTGGTACATATGATGCGCACTGGCAATTTAAAAATAAACATTGACTCACGCTTGTGTGATTCATGTAAAGCTCTCGCTGGCACCAATCCCATGCGTGTTTTGATCTGTCATTGTCGATCGTGAATTTAGTTGTTTTAGTTGACATTCAACATGAACCACATCGTGATTTATTCATCAACCATCTGACTGGCCAGTACATATGATGCGAAATGGCAATTTAAAAATAAACGTTGACTCGCACATGTGTGATACATATAAAGTTCTCGCTGGCACCAATCGCACGCATGTTTTAATTTTATAATGCTATATTATATATACTATTGATGTAATTTTTTGCAGTAACGTAATTACTGTATGAATCTTCTAATTAATTTACTTTCAATGTGCATGAATTCGTGCACCGGGCCTCTGGTCCTATCTAATAAAAGAGTAATATGTAAATTAACCATCACTCCATGACAAAGATGGCGGCACCCATAGTGGCTGGGACGGGACGCTGGCAGTGTTGCCCTGGCAATGCGAGCCCAGCGTCTGCACACCGGCAGCGTGATGGGAGGGGAGGGGCCGCGGCGCGAGGGACGCTGGCGTCGTTGCAGGCCAGGCTGAGGGGACCCCCCCCCCCCCCCCCCGCACGAATTTCGTGCACCGGGCCTCTAGTTATTAATAATGAACTACAACGTTCACTAATGACTGATTACTATAATCGTGTTGCATTCATTTCCCTTACGTGCCTTATGTGCAGGCGCACCATTTGTCTCCACTAATACTAGCAGCAGATATTTTAGCAACCGATTGCCATGTCATTAGTCTTGGACTGACTTGTTTGGTGTGCACAACAGGAAATATTTTGCTTTCGGAGAACAAGAAAAATAGGTTTATTTGCATTACACTTATTAAGTTGCGTAGTTATTCAGTGCCTGGTAAGTTAATGTTCAAGAAAAAATATTAATTTTTATTAAAATGTTCTATTACTTTATGTTAATGATTATTCATTTATTTCAGCCCTTTGTGTTCAGCATGTCTATTGAAATAAACCTACATTTCTATGAAAATGGAAGTTTTTCTTTGCGGCCCACATAAACTTAAACCGTGTTTATTTGGCCTGTGTTAGCCTTGGAGTTTGACATGCTTAGTCTAGAGCCAGGATTCCTCAAAGAATGTTGTACCATGTAACTTTGTTGTATAAGAGATCACCCCAAACCTCAGTGATTTAGAATAATGACCATTTATTTCGCTTGAGTCTATGGGTTGTCCAGGCAGTTCTTCTGGGCTTAGCTGAGTTCATGATGTGTCTGTCTGTGGTCAGCTGCAGGTCAGTTGGCTTGACTCTTACATGTCTGGGGCCTCAGCTCTGGTCCATGTGGTCTCTCATCCTCTAGCAGGCTAATTTGCATGGAAGCTCAGCAGGATTCCAAGAGGGAGAGCTGAAAGGCACAACTTCGTAGATGCCTGGGCTTGCTACTGTCATACTGTCACTTCCCTGCATTCTGTTTACCATCCCCTATTCAAGGGGATACTGGGGACTGTGAAATAGTGAGGCCACTATTCCAGTCAGTCTTTCACAAATGTGTTCTATGTCCCAGGGGGTTCATGGAGAAGATGGATTTTTTTCATAAAACTAACTTATTTAATGATGTTGAGTGATTATAAAATTTTTCTGCTGCAATCATCATTGATCTTTTCCCTGGTCAGAAGTTACAGTCCCCTGTTGGCTACATTTATCTTGACACTTTTCTTCTTGTTAACTTCCCATACACATCTATTCTTCTCCTCTTCAGTTTCACAAAGATCCTGTTGTGTTCAGTGGTCCCTCTTTCTTTCCCCCTTCACTCCTCATCTTCCCAGACAGGAAGGGTCCTGTACCTTATACCTTGCTGGTACAAGCTGTCAGCAACAGTGTCTTTATGCCACTCTATATTCCACTCGAGGTATAGCGTTCTCATGTTTCTTGGCTGGTCTTGACGGGTGGGTTTTACGGTCCCTTTGTTAGAGATGTGGAGCTGGGATGCAGAGTCTCGGGCACCTTTTTCAGAGCCTGGGCCTGGCAAGTGCTTTCTACCGCACATGTTGTCCCCTTATCATGACCTGCTGTATCTTTAGTGATACTCTCCTTTCTGTCTCCCGCCTCCCCCTCCCAGTTGAATTGGGAATAAGGCTGTAACACTTTTCATCTCTTTTGGCTATGTTTACCGTCTGCTGCCTTTGATTATACTACTCATTACCTTTCTTCGAATTCACCAGGGATCTACAAGAGGAGCTAAGAGGTTTTTAAATCAAGAATGTTGGCTAAAGAAAGACCTCTGTGTCTGTATTGAGAGTGCCAGTGGGTTAGAAATTGTTGGCTATTTCCAAGTTCTGGGAGATCAAAAAAGCATATAACTGGCCATTTCTTGTTAGAGAATAATGTTATGAAGTTAACTTGTGAAAAACATGAAAATTTTCAGTTACCCTCCACTTTTAGTGGCAACCATAGTAATTGCAATTGAACTAAGAAAGCCAGTACCTCCCAGCTGTCAGTTGCTGGCCTCTTGTCCAGAGAACCTCAGCAGCCACTTAGGGTGAGTGCTGGAGCCCGTGCAGAAAAGCTGAGTGGTTCTGACTGTGCACTTCTTACCAGTGTTCCCAGAAAGCCCTGGGAAAGTCACCAAGTGCTCTAAGGTGGTGTTGTTTTTTTCATTAAATTTGCTGGGGTGACATTGGGTAATAGGATCATAGAGCTTTCAAGTGTACATTTCTATGACATAAGATCTGAATATTGCACTGTGCGTCGTGGTATTATCTTTTTCTTCATTGTTCTGAAAGCTTGGTACCTTTTCAGAATAAAGTAAAAATAGTTCAATCTTACAACAGCCTCAAAAAATCAGCAGATATGTGTGAATTACTTCCAGATGATACTCAACTGATTCTTAACTTCTTTTTTTTTAATAGTTCGCTTTTAGAGTCGTTTTAAGTTCACAGCAAAATTGAGCACAAGGTACAGAGATTTCCCAAACATCCCCTGCCCCCACACATGCATAGCCTCCCCCATTATCAGCATCTCCACCACAGTGGTACAGTTGATGAGCCTACATGGACACATCATAATCACCCCAAATCAATCATTTACATTAGACTTCAGGTTATGGTGTACATTCCAGGGGTTCACACAAATGTGTAACGATAAGTATCCACCATTGTGGTATTATACCAGGGTAGTTTCACTTGCCTGATAATCCTCTGTTCCACCTCTTTATCCTCCCTCCTTCCCTCCTAACCCCTGGCAACCACTGATCTTACCATCTCTGTAGTTTTGCCTTTTCCAGAATGCCTTTAGTTGACATCGACTATCTACCCTTTTCAGATTGGCTTCTTTCACTTAGTCGTATGCATTTAAGATTGCTCCATGTCTTTTCATCGTTTGATAGTTTATTTCTTTTTAGTGCTTAATAATATTCTATTGTCTAGATGTAGCACAGTTTATTTATGCGCTCACCTAAAACATCTTGGTTGCTTCCAAGTTTTGGCAGTTATGAATAAAGCAGTTATAAACATTGGTGTGCAGGTTTTTGCATCAACATAAATAAGTTTTCACCTCCTTTGGGTAAATACCAAGGAGTGTGATTATTGCATCATGTGGTAGAGGTATGTTTAGGTTTGGAAGAAACTGCCGAACTGTCTTGCAAAGTGGCTGTGCCATCTTGCATTCCCACCAGCAATGAATGAGAGTTTCTATTGCTCCACATCCTCATCAGCATTTGGTGTCATCCATGCTCTGGATTGTGGCCATTCTGATAATGGTATCTCGGTTTTATTTGCATTTTCTTGATGACCTATGATATGTGGAACATCTTTGCATATGCTTATTTGCCATCTCTACTGTCTGTTAAGGTCTTTGGCCCATTTTTTTAATCAGGTGGTTTTTCCCCTCATTGTTGAGTTTTAGTAATTCTCTGTGTATTTGGGATGACAGTCCTTTATCAGATATGTTTTTGCAAATATTTTCTCCCACTTTGTGGCTTGTCTTTTCATTTCCTTGACAGTATCTTTCACAGAGCAGATGGCTCTAATTTGAATGAAGTTCAGCTTCTCAGTTCTTTCTTTCATGAATTGTGCCTTTGGTGTTGTATCCAAAAAGTCACCACCAAATCCACAGTCACCTAGGTGTCTCCTGTGTTGTCTTCTAGGACATTTATAGTTTTGCATGTAGAGTTAAGGCTGTGGTCCATTTTGAGTCCATGTTTGTGAAGTGTGTCCGGTCTGTGTGTAGATTGTTTTACATGTGGAGATCCACTGTTTGTTGAAAAAAATGATCTTTTCTCTATTGTATAACTGTTGCTCTTTTAGCAAAGATCAGTTGACTGTATTATGTGGGTCTGTTTCTGGGCTGTCTACTCTATTCCATTGATCTGTTTGTCTGTTTTTGCCAATGGCACCAATGTCTTGATTACTTACAGTAAGTCTTGAAGTCAGATAATGTCAGTCCTCCAATATTGTGTTGGCTGTTGTTTTGTTTTTGCTTCTCCACATAAACTTTAGAATCAGTTTGTCAATATCCACAAAATAACTTGCTGGGATTTTGACTGGGATTGGATCGAATCTAAAGGTCAAGTTGAGAAGAACTGACAATATTGAGTCTTCCTGACCACGAACATGAAGTATCTCCCCATTTATTTAGCTCTTCTTTGATTTCTTTCATCAGAGTTTTTATAGTTTTCCTCCTCTAGATCTCATACATATTTTGTTAGATTTATACCTAGGTATTCCTTTGGGGGTACTAATGTAAGTGGTATTGTGTGTTTAGTTTGAAATTCCATTTGCTCATTGCTGGTATATAGAAAAACGATTAATTTTTATGTAATAACCTCATATCCTACAACCAGATACGTGACTTGGATTCTAGCATAGTACAGAGTGGGTGGAATAGGTTCTCTTAAAATTGCACACTGCGTTTCAGTCTACATTGTTAACTCTTCCAGGCACAGAGACGTCCAGCAACCTCCACCAGAAGCTCTGCTACCATGTCTTGGGGACTGATCAGTCAGAAGATATTTTGTGTGCTGAGTTTCCTGATGAGCCCAAATGGATGGGTGGAGCTGAGGTATTGTACTGTTGTGAAATTTTACCCAAAAAGACCATGTCCCATGGATTGTATATGTAAATATCCTTGTTTCGTGATGACCTTTATGAGTGGTAGAAGTCCTTTGAGGGACTAGTCTTTTTATTAAAAATATTGGCATTCAAAATTATTCTTAATAATGAAGTTGATGATAAACCTTTTAACAACATAAAAATCTTAATACAAAAAGTTATGCATGCTTATGGTAAAAAATGCATAAGTACAGAATAACGTAAAGTGAAACATGAACATTGTGAAACTCGGAATCCTCCTTAGAGGTGAGGAGAGTATCCTTCTAAACATTTTCCTTTCATATGCAAATGAGAATGTAGAGAGTGTGTGTTTTCCTGTTTGACACAGTTGTGCTCTTTGTGTAGAAGGTTTACTTGTTTTTACACTAAAATATGTATTCTTTAGATATCTTCCTGTTTTATTTTTTTAATGTGTTTTTATTGATTTCAGAGAGAGAGATAGAAACATCAATGATGAGAGAGAATCATTGATCGGCTGCCTCCTGCACAACCCCTACTGGGGATTGAGCCTGAAACCCGGACATGTGCCCCTGACCAGGAATCAAACCGGGGACCTCCTTGTGCATGGTGTCCGCGCTCAAACCTCTGAGCCACGCCAGCTGGGCGATACCTTCCCATCTTATAGATAGATAGTTCATACATTCCTTGGGGATCTTGATAATAACCAACCTCTATTGAAGTGATACATATTTGAAGTTACTGGCCTAGATTTTATTCTGTATCTTGATAATCAATTGAAAAAGCTTAGAGTTGCTTAGATTAAGAATTTACTGTTGTGAGTTGACTTATGGGGACTAAGAAATATTTTTTTTAAAGAAAGAAAAACAGGCCTGGCCAAGTGGCTCAGTTGGTTGGGGCATCATCCCGTATACCAAAAGGTTTGGAGTTCGATTTCTGGTCAGGGCACATACCGAGGTTGCGGGTTCAATGACCTTGTAGGGCACATATGGGAGGCAATTGATTGATGTTTCTCTTTCACATTGATGTTTCTCTGTCTCTCTTTCTCTAAAATCAATAAACATATCCTCAGGTAAGGATTTTTAAAAAAAGAAAGAAAAACATTCTGAATATTTTAATACAAGTAGACTATCATTCCATTTTTAAGTAGGAAAGAGGAATCCACTAGGAACATTTTAGCTCATTGAGCCATTTAGCTCTTCTCTGAGAGATGATTAAAAATTTGGTAAGAAAAGGACATTTTAAATTTGAACTTTGCTCATGGGTCTGATTCATTGGGGTCAAGAGTAGGAACCCATGGTATTTTAGTTCATGTGCGTTGATATACCTTATTCCAAATTGTCCCTTTATTTCTTTATTTTGTTTCTCTAGACTAAGGCTTGTCACACTTTTGCCCTTAGGCCAAATCTGACCTTCTGCTAGTTTTTGTAAATAAACTTTTATTGGAACAGCACATCCCTTTGTTTACGTAGTGTCTGTGACTACAGTCAACCTCCAACACCAGAGTTCAGTAGTTGCCACAGAAGGCCACAAGGCTCACAAAGGTTTATAGGAAAACTTTGCCAGACTTTAATACACTGTGTTAAAAATGAATCTATAGGACTTATATTTTATTACCTGAAACTGTGCCCTTTTTTCATGCTTTTTCTTTTCTACCTAATTCCCCACCCTACAAGCTTTGCTTGTATAGTTACTATTGCCATATTTCTCACATATTTGTTTTTAATGGCTCTTCTGACTCTATTTGTATGTTTTTACTAAATTTTCTTCTTGTAACAGCTTTTCCTCATACCTAAGGCTTCTGCTTACTATGGATATGTATTTATTTAAAAAATAGTATAGATTTTAACTTTATCTGAGTGAAACAATTAGGGAGACAAAATATGCTACCAAAACAACCTAAAAACATTAAGTCATGTATTTTTCTTTATCTTTATTTGGGGGGAAACCTAAAATAACATATTTTAGTAATCAAATTTTATTCCTCTGGGCTCATCATAAATTCAAAAACATGCTGTTGTGGAGAAATTTTTTCCTTCCAGGCTAATAATTTCATCGAACCAGGCCTGTTTTAATCAAAGTAAAATTATTTGGTTGATACAATAACAGGAACACTAAAATTAAATGCCTGAATATCAGTATATTTTAGCAAATTGGTGTAAAAGAAAACATTTTAACTGGAATACATGCAACTCTGGTTGCTCAGATCTCTTTGTTAGCACTTGGTTGAAGGAACTAGTTTTTGTTCAATACTTTTTTGAAATCATGATAAATATACATAAAATAAAGCTTACTAGTTTATTCATTGTATGTATAATGTGGCAATAAGTATGTTAACACTGTGTGCAACCATCAGCACTATTCACCTCCAGGACTTTCTTCATCTTGCAAAATTGAAACTGTTCCCATTAAGCAATAAATCCCCACCCTCCTCCTCTCTGATCCCTGGTAACCACCTGCTCCTTTCTGTCTCTGTGTATTTGACTACTCTAGGTGTCTCATATAAATGTCGTCATAGAGTCTTTGTCCTTTTGTGTCTGGCTATGTCACTTAGCATGATATTAAGGTTTGTCCATGTCATAGCATATGTCAGAATTCCCTCCTTTTTAAAGTTGGATAATATTTCATCAGTGTATGCACCACATTTTGTTGATGCATTCATTCGTCGATGGACATGTGAATTGTTCCAGTAGCATTGTTATAAATAATGCTGCTATGAGCAGCAGTTTCTAAAAATAACAGGGGCGATACATCATATAAACATTTAACATCTGTATATTCCATTCTACTAGCTAGACAACTGAAAAGAAAACCAGATTTAAGTAGTTCAGTGATCCTTCTAGCATTCATTCAATAGATGTTCACTCTACATAACTTGACTAATGAAGTCTTTGCCACAACCTTGAGAAGCAGTGATCAATCCCATTGCATGGACAAAATAGGATACCTGCCAGGGCGGTTACCATGCAAGTCCGTGGCTGGAACTGCCTGCTGGGTATGTCCGGCCTCTATCTTCTTAACACCCATGTGCTCTGTGTCTCTGCCCAGAGGAAGAGGTCACACAAAACGACAGCAATGACTGTTTAAAGAATGGCAGTAAGTGAGGAGATGCATCTTTACTGAACAAAAATAATAAATGAAGTTGTTGTTTTTTTAAAAAAAAATGCTACAGGGACAAAGTGGGACCTGAGGGACTTGATATTGGATCAGGGCCCTAATCAGTGAATAGTGTGAAGAAAGTCTGTAAGACTTAGGCAGGTCAGGCTGACGTAGGTGAGTGTCCCCATCCTCCCTCACCTGCTGTGTGTGATCATTCTGAGCTGAGAGGACCTTCTTGCTGCAGAGAGGATCTCTCTGTCATTTCAACATGAACACTGTAGTTCTGTAGGTATAAGCCTTCAGAAGCCTGAGGCCCCTCCTAAATTGATGATCCAGTTCCAGGTCGGAAAAATCTAAAGGAAAAAAAAAATATTGATGTGGGAGTTTCTTATACCTGGCAAAGGAGTGTGATAAAGCCAGGGGAATCCAAGAGGCTGGTGTGCTGTTGACTGTCTAGACCAGCGTCACCCATGATTGGTGTACCGATGAGCAATCAGGACATGGGTTGGAAATGAAGCAAACAGTTTCTTAACAGCCTTTATTTAGTGACCCACATCCTAGAGAAAAGCAGTAGTCCTTTACATAACCATGCACCAAATACGTGTGTCGCAATTGCTGCTTCTATTTTTCAGGCAGTTGCTTTTAGGATCATTTTGAACCTGGTATTTCATGAACACATTTAACAGTATCTCTGAGTGGAGAGCCCGTGTTACAGTGATGGTGGTGTACTGCAGCAGGAATCAGGAGAATTTTATTCTAGTCCAGCCGTGGGCAAACTACGGCCCGCGGGCCGGATCCGGCCCGTTTGAAATGAATAAAACTAAAAAAAAAAAGACCGTACCCTTTTATGTAATGATGTTTACTTTGAATTTATATTAGTTCACACAAACACTCCATCCATGCTTTTGTTCCGGCCCTCCGGTCCAGTTTAAGAACCCATTGTGGCCCTCGAGTCAAAAAGTTTGCTCACCCCTGTTCTAGTCCTACCTGGTGGCCGTAGGCAAATCACCTTATCCCTCCGGGGATTTTCAGCTCTGAAAGGCTGTGATGAGAGGATATATCACAGCATCTCATAGACCCTGCAGCAGGCTTCTGGGGTGAGAACGTAGCTGCTGGATTTGAGATCACTGGGATGTGGAGTGCCGGTGTTGTGGGTGCAGTGTGAGGCGCTCATGGGTGGGGGCCGAGTGTGTGGGTGTCTGTGATTCTCCGGCTTGCTGCCGCCCTCCTCCCTTTGGCTGTTGCAATCAGGCTCACCGGGGACTTCCCTTGGTGTCCTAGTTGCTGTCTCCTCATGACTCAGCTCCTCTGTCACAGATGTCTCCCGCTTTCCTGCATTGGACAGGTCTTTGTGACCTTAGGCAAGTCTCTAAGCTACGTTGTCAGGAGGCAGCCTTACTCTTCCCATTGATGCTGATGACCCATCTCTCCCCAGGACGACCACCTTCCACCTGGCAGAACCCATGGCTTTCAGGCCATTTTTGGCTAAAGTTCCGTTGCAGTCCAAAACCAGATATCAACTCCAGTTTACATGCTGCTGCCCTCTCCCCAGCTCAGGTTTGAGGAGCACATGGGATAGGGACTATTTAATTCTTCCCCTTGTTTGTTTATCAGTTTGGTTGTTTTGCCATACAAAGATGTGGATATGAATAGTCATAGCAACCAAACTGGATATAACCCAGATGTCCACTAAAAGGCACTTGAGTGAACAAATTGTGGTATATCTCTGCAATGGAATACTGCTCAGCAATAAAAAGGAATGGCCTGTTTACATACCTAACAACATGTGGATAAATCTCAAAATAATTATTAATGCTCAGTGGAAGAAGCTGGGAGAGAAAGTACACAGTGTCAGATTCCATTTATATAAAACTCTAGAAAATGCAAACTAGTATACAGTGACGTGGACAGATCAGTGGTTGCTTGGGGACTGGCAGGGAGGGAAGATGAAGGGACAGGCAGAAACTCGGGGGTGATGAGACTGGAACTTGGAAATGACGTTTTACAGGTGGGGCCATCCTGAGCAATGGCCGGACCCCCATGCCTCCCTCCCCTCTGGAATTCGCCCGGGCTTTTGGTCTTCAGTGTCCATGCAGGGAGGAGGCGGCAGAGAAGGGGGACAGAATTTTTGCTCATCGGGAGCTGTTTGTTGATTGATTCTGGTTGCTCAGCAGTCCACCAGCTCTTTGGCTTCCTTTAGTAGTGAGATTCCCTCAATTCTGGGAACCCCTGCGCTTTGCTGTTCCCTGATGCGGGTTATAAACTCTCTGGTGGACCTTTCTGTGCTTGTCCCTCTGAGCTTCTGCTCCCAGTCGGGCTCCCCTGAGAGTTGTGCCTCTCGGGCCCCTCCTGCCCCCGCCCCCTCCCTTTTCAGCAGGGACCTTTCAGATGACGAGGCCAGCTACCTTGTCGGTGCCTCTTGGTCCAGGGGAAGCCACATCCGTGGGTTCTCCATGGAAATGCAGGCAGTGTTCACCACTGCCCTCCTCCCACCAGCCTCGCCTCTCAGGCCCTCCCAGCAGCACCCTCATGACCCTGGGGTAACACGCAACAGATATCTAGCACTCGGCTTGGAAGAACAGTTTCATCAGTTGTTATTTAATAGTGACCGTGAGGCTTTCGTTGCAGGGCAGTGATTGTGGAAAGATAGAAATTGTCCTTTTAGGAGGTTCTCTTGGACAGAAAAGAAAAGAAAAACTATTTAAAATGATTTGTAGAGCATTGTGGTGCACACACACACACACACACACACACACAAATAAATCAAGCATTTTGAGGCACTTTCCCAGCAGAGGGTGCTCTAGAATGAAGATTCTGAAAATGTATTCAGTCCCTTTAGAAAAGACCAGGGAGAAAAATAGCCTGCCTCTCTCTGACAGTCTAGCTGAATCTTATTTTGTGAACTTAATTCCATTATACTTAATTCTATTATACCAGTTTTTGGTACAGAGGTAATCCTAATTCTTAATATTCATTAAATGTCTATAAGCCATTTTAATGTGTTCACTTGTGACCCTTAGAGTTAATATGTACATGTTTGTTCACATTTATATATATTAACATATATTAACACGTAAAAGCGTTGCCTGATGCTTGCCTCCCCATAGGCACTCATGAATGTTAATTTTCTTACTCTCTCCTCTCCCTGCGGAGGTTCATGCACAGAAGACCTTCTGGGCCTGGTGTGCACCCAGCTTCGCCTACAGAACATACGTGCTCAGTAAAGTGCAGATGTTCCTCGGGGAACTCTGCCTCACCTGCCCTCACTCATTGGATGGTTTTCACTTGGAATAGTAATTGCTCAGCAGCCTTCTCCATGGTCAGGACAGTTCATGCATTTATTCCCCAAATACCTAGTAAGTCCTTTGTGTCCACTACTGTGCAGGGACCCGATGATACTCAGGAACAAAGAGCAGAGCACTGGCCCTTAAGGAAGATGTTTTTGTCATGGTAACCCATTCTATTTCAGTATTTTTATATAATACAGAGTCTGGGGGGCTCATGGCAGAATTTCCCCCATGTTTGGTTTGTGTCTCATTTTAAACACACCATTGCCCTCTTGGCTTACCTTCAGTAATTGAGCCTGAGACTGCCAGCAGGAAAATCTCAGCAGCACACCTGGGAAGGCAGAACAGTCAGGAAGCTAGACTGAAGATCTGGGTGTGGGTAAAGCTAGAGGCGTGCTGCTCTGTATCTATATACTAATATATAACAGGCTAATATGCTAAGTGTCTGTCCAACCGGTCGCTATGACGCGCACTGACCACCAGGGAGCAAACATTCAACACAGGAGCTATCATGACGCACACTGGCCATTTACAGAGAAACAGCACCGCGGACCTGGTTCTCACAAAACAACAGTCGGCTTCCCCCAAAGT